CCGAAATTTCCGAGCCAAATTGTAAACATTTGCCGGAGCAGGGCTCTTGTTGACAGACAAGCGGACAATGGCATTTCGGAAAAGTACAAACGAATAGTGGAGCAATAGTCACCTCCAAGCGGAGACCAGTTGACTTCTATGATGGGCTAGAGATGTGTGAGTAGAGGCATGGGGTAGGATAGGCGAGATGGGCATTAAATTGCTTTATCTGGCGACTGAGGGTCGCTTTAGGGGATCAGATCACGTCATGAATTCACATCCGACTAAACCATCCGTTTTCAACATGACTTCTTATTCAAAAATTACTCAAAGTTTAGAGGCATACTCAAATCGGAAATAAGTAGTGTGTTTCAGTGAAAATTCTACCGCAAAATATAATTTAAGCCAGATTCGGCTTGCCTTGAAGGTCTCGTCTGCCCTTTTATCATCCGACCCTCTCAGCTGAGGTAGGAAGTGCTAACGCATCGCTACTTTAACCTTGTGACCCGGTTTCTAGCCCACTTTGGAGGGTTGATGAGTCCCGAGCAAGGTTGGCACCGTAGTCCAGAATGAAGAGGGAAAAGAGGACCGAAAACGATAGGACGATTGTCTTCACTGTTACCAAGACGTCATCTGCGAACCGGCTTTCTCCGAGAATAGCTTTCGTCTGTCCCGTCGACGAGACGCGAAATCAGGATTTGTGAAAAAACGCACCAATACGCCAAACCGAGGCAATATTGCGTGTTCCGGTTCCAGTTCAGTCATTCACTTTGACCCCTAAAAACTGACATTTTTTGCACTTGCCATTGCACTCGATGGCATTACTTAATTTCGATATAAGTAGTTTTCGGGACTATCGGTAATTCTTGAATAAAAACAAAGTCAGTCTAGGTTACTCAGGGCGATTTAAAGACTGATTGTTTGACGTTTTCCACATTTCACTAAGCTTCACTTGACTGCCCGGCTCTCCACTCTGGCATAAAGCGCCAATGGCGACAGTCAAGTTGGGTCAAGCCCCTACCAACAACCCGTTTTGCTATGCGAATCTTGTTGAGTAAACATCTGTTTGCCATTGCCTAATTTCGACGTGAGTGCTTTTGGCCAACGTCGAAACGTGAAAGCATTATTTATAGCAATAACTATCGAATCTCCATTATTTGCTTATTTATTTATTTATTTATTTATTTAGTGCTATTATTACATAATTATGCATATAAATAAATATAGAACCTCTAAACTGTGGGAATATTTTCTATTTCTTATTCGACTTTAATTTATGCCTTTCTCGTTGCAACGCTCTGTTTTGTTACGTCGAGTGGGCAGCCTGAGAATCAGGCCTCATTTCATGCAAGTA